GAGAGAGAGAGAGAGACGGAGATCGCGGAAGAGGTTTGTTTAAATCGAGTTGGATTGGAATTCGTCCGATGATTAAAGCGACGCGAAAAACGAACGCGACAGAGGTGAGCGATAAGAAAAAATTCTCACGGTAAAATGATCGGCAAACTGCAATTCGATATTTATCGAATGGTTTCGAGTATCTATTCCTGGTCAATACCCCGCGTCGAAGGTCGGCTCAAGATTATACTCGCGAACGATTCTCATTTCCTACATTGCAAGAATTTACAACATGGCTAATTTATGGCTCGTTATATTTCGAACTAACTGGAGAATATGAGACGATATAGTCATACACCGACTTACCATACTTTCCAGTTCTCACGAAACCCTTATGCGCTAATCGATATAATCGATAAGGGGGATATTTGAAAGAGAATCACCAGGGGATATGAAGGGTCAAATAAATTTTATCAATTACAAACGTTGTTATTGATTCACGTCGAGGCGAGTCGTAAGTATCATTGATTAATATTCGTCTACCTTGAGAAACGAGATTGAACGTCGTTGTTATTAATTCAAAATTCATTACATGCTAATTATTCTGGTCGATTACGTATGTTGTCGATTATAGGGATACTGGTGTTGTCTCGTAAGAGACATGACAAACATCATCGCCATTTAACGTAATTATTTCAACACACACTCAACACATTCGTATGTATAATGCCCATTTTATATAGATAGATATATAGATATAATAGATCAAATATTTTATTCGCTTATATACGGTGCTTACACTGTATGTAAAAACGTATAACCAAACTTATTTAAATTTTTTTTTTCTTCGATAAAGCAGAAAACCCCTAATTACATTTGTGAATCGCGTTTTTAAATGAAAACGAAAAGCGAAAGGTATAACGGTAGAGAATTAAATACGTAACCAGCTTATGAAAATGGAAACTAGAAACTAGAATTGACACTTACCAGCAATCCGTAAGACGGCTCTGTCAGCAGGATCGAGCTGCAGGATACTCAACGGTTTATCCTTTACCCATTCCTTCAAACTTCCGTCTAGCTCGAACTCCATTCTCTAAAACTGTTGATTGAAACTTCTTTTTTTTTTTACACCATATTCGTGCAACTCCTCTTTTGCTCGGCACTGTTTCACAACCACTTGGCAATTTCACAACCGCGACACACAAAGAGCTTCTAAGTATTACGTCGTTTTCGTTCAATAGAGTTCGCGAGGCAGTGACGAATAGTGCACCGAACTAAATCGCCGTGTTATCGACAGCAGGCATTTGACAACTTTATACACAATATTAGACAGAATATCCTCGTTACCGGTCTCTTCTTCCCTTAGATTTAAATTTCACTAATGATGTTTTCTTTCTCTTCTTTTCTCTACTTTGAAATCAATAGTTTTATAATCGAAAATAGTTATAGCCGAACGAAAAGCACGTGGAACCCGTATACATGCCGCGCGTTTATTTATTGTACACGACTCTGCTGTAGGGTAGAGTAACGTACCACGGCGTAGAAGTGCACGAACTGCACCGGCGGAACGGAAGGAAGAGAGGTGGCAAGGAGACGACGAACAGGGAAAGCGTACGCGATGTCTGGCGTCCTTTTGACGATACACGCCAATACGTATAACAGTTGCTTAGCCAGCAACGTAACGTGTTTCCAGCACGCCGATAATCAGCAATACTTCGTATCTTTGTCGTCAGCGGCGCTTAGGTCAAGTTAGATTTGGTTGAAAATGGACAAATCACATTCGATCTCTCTCAATTGCAATCTTGAATTCCCGTTGTTGCTTGTACATTTTGTGCCACGAATCGAAGATTTTTCAGTATTTTATTCGTCAAAATTCCTTAAGTTTAATTCTACCACCCTCACTGTCCTCGACAATATCTTCCATTTGCAACATTCTATAAATATAAATACAAACAACATATTCTTAATTTTTTCTTTTTTCTTTCCTAAAAAATAAAATAATTATAAATTGTACAAAAATAATTGGTTTTTAAAATAATCGAAATAACATAAACGAGTTCGAAACAAAAATCGCATAAATATTTTAATTGCATAAATATTAAATGGAATTATTGTGGAGAAAGTAATATTTCTTGTTTTATATAGCGCTTTCTAAGTATGTTCAGAATATAATTAAATTTCATTTAGTAATCAAATGTTGATTGTAATAATAAGAGTAACAATATTATCCTTAATTCAAATACGTTTTAAATGCAAATATCACAGTGCAAAAAATAAATCGAGAGAGATTTGATACAAAGAACCGGAAGCGGATGTGGCAACATTCAAGTCGAACTAATTCTCAGGCAACGTTAAAAAAAATTGAAATGTAAATTCTTCGATATATAAATCGTTTTATTTTCTTATATATATCTCTGCTAAAATTAAAGAAATATCTATGCATTATCTGTTATTTCTTATTGACAAAATTAAACAATTATTCTTCATTCGAATTGTTCATTCTAATGTTTTTTTTTATTTTTTGGCACGTTTAAATAGAAAATATTTTTTCAAATTTTCATGATTTTGTTTTAAATGAAAAAAAATAAAGATAATTTTTTCAATATGTGCAACTGAAAATTTCAGTTTACGTGTACATAATCATGAGAAATAATTGTTTTCTCTTTCTACCTCATTTCTTTCGTATTGAATTTTTTGATTTAAGACAATGAAAAAAGTATTTTTATACATATTTTTATTAGATAAATAAATATTGGAAACATTCTTGACTCGAAACAATCTTGCTGGATGAAACGAAGGTGAATCTAGTTATTCACGGGTTAAACCTAACCTAACAATTCAGGAAACGTAGCGAGAATACAGTTAGTTATTTCAGCAAAATGACACTGAACTCTTTGAGTTTGCGCATCACTAGAATGTACACGATACTTTCGTATAACATTATTGTAAAATTTTGATATTTCTCAAATGCAAAAGATATACGAACAATGTGATATTGCAAATTAGCGACATCTGCAAAAAACATTAGTGCAAGGTAATCAAGATAACCATTTTACCGAAAATAATAAAATGTAGTAACTATGATTCATTCGAACATATCGGTTCGAATCTTAAAACAAATGCTAATTTGATACGATACAATGTGAATAAGATGATATACTATCTTATTTAAATTTATTTGTATTATTAAAAATACAAATCCATTAAAATCTTTAAAATATTAACAAATCGAGGGAATATCGACAAATCGTACGATATGTATTACCGTTTGATCATCTGTCGAGTAAGATGCGAAAACAGGAAAAATCAATGTTCACCGGTATTCTCTTAGAGTTTCTTTGTTGGCAACGAGACAACCCAATGCGAAGAATATCCTTTTGTGACTTTTGATACACTTTCCAACAAAAAACACTACGTAGTTGTATATAGAGACATTGCATTATCACTTATCATAGCAATTTTCACGTCAGAAATACGACCCGGTTTCTGACGACGCACCTAGCAGACGACATTTTGCTTTTTAACGAACGTATCCGAAGCTCTCCGAACTTCAGCGAACTACACTGAATAATCGGCAGCTGACGCGATTTACGAAACTACTCGATGGCTTAGTAATCAACCCTATTTCTCGCGAACTAGTTAAATATAATTTTTCTCATACGAATATAAATTAGCTTTATCTATTTCCTATCTTGATTTCTTTTTTATTTCTTTTTTTATCTTTCATATATAATTTTTCTTTTGAAATACGTACTTGTGAAAATTGAAAAGTAACTTTATTTTTTATAAATATTGAAGGCAATAAAAAGGATAAATGGAAAATATGAAAGGAATATGAATTTCAAAATATATCTCAAAACAATCATATCTTACACTTGAAGAAATAATTATTTGAATACATATTGTATTGGTGGTTATTATAATACCAATACACATCAATATATTATCGATGTTCTTAAATTTATTATTAAATTCTAATAAAAAAAAAAAAAGGTTAAAGCTAGAACAGGTATATTTTACATATGAATGAATGGAACGCGTCTGACATCATACCTATAACGAATGACATCAACTTTTCACTGTATGATTATTAGTCTCCACTGTCATCAATCGTTCATACAGTGGCGTCCATACGGTAGCCTTCGTAGCCATTTGCTTCATTTGATGTCACCGCTAAATAAAGCGACTGACACGGTCGGTAAATACGAGGACGGTGTTTCGAGTAGCACCTATTCCATAATTAGATGCTTATTACGATATTGGTTAAAAATCAATTTCAAAGTCCAATCTATTATAGATGATCTTAATATGAATTTAACAATACGGCAATATTTTACGAACTTAATTCAAAAATCACGAATTTTTCAGTCCAGTACTATAATTGTTTGGCTCATTTGTTGCCTGAAGTACTCGTTTTGTTAACGTATCTTGACTAAAGTGTTTTCCTTTTTGTAATTTTTCAATAATGTCTTCCTGTTGCTTAATTACATCGTTTAAATGTTGTATTTTACGTTGATAATCGTGTTTCATTCGACGTACATGAAGTTCTTGTAATTTTATACGTTTTTCTACAGAATCTACTTGTTGTTTCGTACCTTTTCGAACAATCTGAAATTATAAGTTACTTAATTTTTTTTATTTTTTTTATCAATAATATAAATTTTATACGTACTTCTAATTGATTTTTTAAGCCTTCCACTCGACTAGTAATACTTTTACCAAGACGATCCATATTTGCATTTTCTTTTTCCGTTTCACGTAAAAAAGAGAGTAATTTTTCTCTTTCTGAAACAATTCTTTCATATTCCGAAAATAATTCTTCGCAATAAGCAGTCACTTTACTTAATTTCTCTTTCAAAGAATTACGTGAAACACGAGTCGAATAAACAAGAGTTTGCATTTGTTCAATTTTACGTTGCGTTCGTCTAAAATATATATTGTATTATTATATATTAAAAAAAGATAGGATAGATGAATAAAAAATATAAACGAATAATTTACTTTAAAGTTGTTTCAAGATTGTTAACAAGTCCTTTCAAATGATTTCTTTCAGCTATAACCATTATAAGTTTTTTTTCATTTTCAGGTTGAATTTCCTCTATATGCTTTATATGATTACAAAGATTACGTTTTTCATTTTCATATTGATATTTTAATTCATCCAATAATATTTTACATTCTTCAATAGCAGTAACATGAACAGTAGCAGGCACTGTTTGTTGTTCTTTATTTCTCATTTCTTCAAATTCTTTACTTAAAATTTCATATTTTCCTCGTAAATTGCTCAATTCTGATACCGTTATTGTATGCTCTTTTTTTAGCGTTTCATTACATTTTAAAATCACTTCTATTTTTGATTCATATGACGAACGAATATCGTTAGTTTCTTTTTTTATATTTAAAGTTTCCTTTTTTAGAATATCGTTCTGTTTTTTTAGCAACGCGGTATTTTCAACCATTTTTTGCATTTCCTTTGTATACCTGTCACACTATATTTTTTATATTATAGTTATTTATAACTAAATACATTTTTTTATTACATATCGCATCATATGTATTATATTATTTATAATTATTTACCTCTGATTTTAATTCTTCTACTTCTTTATGCATAATTTCATTTTCTGTAAGAATTTGTTTACATCTATTACTAAAATCAGCCATTTCCTGTTCATACATATAAATAAGTTCTTGTTTTTCTGATAAATTTTCTTGATAAGCATTTAAAAGTGGACCTAATGCATGAAAATTGATATTTCCCCAAATTCTTGAATCACATTTCTTTTCATTGTTACCATTATTAGATGCAGAAACATTTTCATGCTTTCGATCTCCTAATTTGTCTTGGTATCTTTCTAATTCAGCATTCAACTGATACACAATAGTTTTTAAAAGCGTAATATCTTCATTCGATTGAATCTTTTCTGTTTCAAGTTGTTTATTTTGTTTAACTAAATTAATTTTTGCTTCTTCTAATTCTTGAACCATCTGTATCAATGCCTCATAATGTAAACATAATTTTTTATATTCCAACTCTCTTTGCTCCAAAATATTATTTAATTTTTGGCATTCTTCTTGAATGCTTTTGTAACATTTTTCCAATTTATGGTATTCATTAACTACTTTCCTTGTTCCTTCGAAACATACTTATCTCTTAATCTTGATAAAGTAATATCTGGAAAAATATATAATTTATTATCATTTATTCAATAAAAAAACAATTTTATATTACATATAAATTACCCGAATCTGCATCATCCTTGTCAAATGATGTTTTTTGAAAATTATTCTCTTCTGTTAATTTTTTACTTCTTTCATGTTCATATATTTTACTTTTTCTTTTCGAAAGTACTTCATCCTCATGATTTTTCGTATCATTATCATTATCAGTTATACAATCTGATAGATTCTTATGCGATTTAAGCGTATGTTTTGCCTTTGAAATATGTCTGCGACGATATACTGGCATAAAAGTTGTATCTTGATTGCTTTTAACACTTGTTGCTCTTCTGTGCTATTGTATTAAAAAAAGCGAGGTTAAGATCATTCGAAGAATTTACATAACCTCTCGTTTTATTTACAAATGTAATATATAATATATTTGTATTAAACGTAATAATAATTACCTTTTTCTCTCTTGTTCAATACTAGTGTTAACACTGGCCATTCCTTTTTCTTTTTTTGTAGTTAAGATATAGTTTATAAAATCATTCATTCCAAATTAACCAAAATATTTAAATTAATCAATAAATTAACCAACTTCGCACAGTAATAGTACCATAAATTTACTTAAACAAAATATGCATACATATATTTGTATACCACTGCATATTTTTATTAATTTCCACATTTGTATCTTATTCATTGTCATAGTAACTAGATACTTACTTAATACACTAATACTAGATGGCGTTTAATTCAATTTTCGATTCTATTCTAATCCATCTGTTTTTATCTTTCTATTTATTTAATAAAGCAATATGAAAGTATATAATTCGAAAAAATTAAGTAGGTTACAATTGGTTTCTCGTCTTCATTTCAAAGTAATTATTTCAATAAAGTATTTTCTAATAAATTATGTAATAATACATATTATTGGTGAAAACTGTATATATAATGAAAATATCCTTTTTGTTTTTTGTATCAAACAATGTAAATAAATTTAACTTGTTAAAACTGAATAATGATTTTTTTTTAATTATAATAATATCCTTGATTATTTGAAAAAATCATCTATATCTTTTTACCTATAACTTACCTATATCTATTTCAATTAAAAAAAAATATTACAAGAAAAATGTTTTTGGTTAAATAGTTGTTTTAATTTATATCAATATTATCAATTTTTTAATCACTATCTGCAACTTTTATGCATTATCATACTTTTATGCATCATATATAATTTTTTTTAAAAAGTAGATATAGAAAAATGGAATTCAGCGATGATTGTAAATAATAGTAAAATATTCATATCTTTTTTTTACTTTTACTTTTTAGAAAATTGCATATATATTTGCATAAAATTGTTATTAAAAAGTTGATAATAATCTGTACATTTATCTGTACATATGTGTGTACGTATATGCGTGTATGACCAAGATGTATACATATAAAAAAAGGAAAAAATTTTTTAATTATTTTTGCATTATTAATAATGATATCATAACATTTATTGTTTAATACTAATTTTTAAATATCTATAAATACACGAGATAATCGATCAAAGAATGTTTGCAAGAGATAAATATTAATTGCAATGATGATAAATTTAATGAATATTGTGCTATTAAGAAATAAAATGTTTCCTGAAGTATTAAAAATACCAAGAAATAATAATTATTTTATCTAATTATTGATATTAATACTTTTTAATTATTGATCGATGCCATAAAACCTATCTTATACAATTTTCGATTAAATTTACGATAGCTCTAATATCTTAGATATTTGTTATGGAATCTAATCTAACACAAGTAATCGTTTTAATTATCGAAATGATTATTATCACTTAATTAAGAGACAGGAATAGGGGAATGTGCGTGTTGAATATCAACAACAAGGGATTTTCGTTCGCAGCAATATTTTTTTCGTAACGATTGCGAAAATATTATTAGGCAGCTATCGTAAATCCATTTTTATTCCCGAAGGTTGCAACTACCTTTGATAAGACGGCTGCTTTAATGATAATACCAGCGAAATTATATAGCTTTTCGTCTTCACGACTATCGATAAAAACCTCGAAACGTAGGCAAAAGCAAGCAGATGGTCGTTACAGTGCTTCAGGAAATTTTTATTCTTGCCAACACCGTAGCAAAATTGTTGATCAAAGCGTTATGGCTCTTGTAAACAACATCAAAACGTTTCAGGGTATTATGGGAAAAGGTACATACAGTGTGAATCTCTCGTATTCGACATAGAAAGAAATTTGGAAACGAGCAATTCGAAGAAACTATATTACACCTATTACAAATTATGTATAATAACGTTTTATTATCCCGTTACACGCAAAATGTAACGTAGATTACATTTTGATCACGAATTTGTTTCAAAGCCTGATTTACGATCTATATAATTTTCTTCTTTCTTTCTTTATTTTTATATATTCCTTATTTTTCGAGGAAAAATTTCTTCTTTTTTTTTTTTTTTTTTCTTCAAGTTACAACAGCGTTACTGATATTCTGCGGATCGATTATGCTCTCGGCCAAATTGATCGAGGGACAGTGCAACTACAACAAAATCTAGTTCCTGGCACCACGTATTACATCTACAACTACCGTTACCCGCAATTTTATAATGGATCACAATCGTGCGTGTGGACCATCACCAGCGACTATCGAGTGAACTTGACTTGTACCGACTTCAAGTTACCATGGGTAAGAGATGAAATATTTTTCATCCGATTTCGATTTAATTAATAAGAAATCGATCTTAAAAGAAGAGAAACTCTCTCGCTTCCTCAGAGTTACAACTGCTTTCAAGACAGTTTAACCGTGCAAATCAATTCAACCACCTCGCATCGTTATTGCGGCAACGGAGGATTTAATATCGCATCCTCGTCGAGCTCTATGGTCGTGACACTGTCGTCGCCCACGTGGTCGCGAGGTGGTCGGTTTCTCTGCAAGGTTCAGGCGGTGAAGAGGCCGCAAGATTCCATCGATTGCCAATGCGGATGGAACAATCCTGTACGTATCCATCGTCGATGCATCGAAACATTTTTCAAAAAATTTTTCCCTCTTAGTCGAGGATCGTGGGCGGAACCGACACGGGAGTGAACGAATTCCCAATGATGGCCGGCATCGTGGACGCCGACAATCGCGACGTGTTTTGCGGATCCACTATAATATCCGTGAGATACGTGTTGACAGCGGCGCATTGCATGACGAACAGGAATTATACGCGATTAGGCGTGTTGGTCGGCGATCACGATTTAAATTCGGGTAAATATTCATCGGGATGATAATTGCGAGGATTGTTATTTATTTATTTATTTTTTCGTACATTCTGATCGATCGATCTAGGGACGGACACAAACGCGACCATGCTGTATCGGGTGAGTAAAATGATCGTGCATCCGAATTACGCCGAGGAGAATTTCAACGACGTGGCACTTTTGAAAACGACGAGAAAAATGGAATTTGGAAATCAGGTTGGCCCGGCCTGCCTACCTTTCCAACACTCGCCCGACACTTTTGCCGGCTCGTACGTTCAATTGTTGGGTAAGGTTATGTTTACGTCGCTACTTTAACACGTGACACACAAGCATACTTACCGGTTGTGTGATAACCAGGTTGGGGCAGTACGAGTTTCGGTGGACCACCATCCGATATCTTGCAAAAAGTTACGGTGAGCGTGTTGACAAATCTTCAGTGTTCCAAATTTTATTCGGATTTAACGCCTCAACAAATGTGCACATACGCGAAGGACAAGGACGCGTGTCAGGTGAAGCGAAATAATAATAATAATAACAACAAATAAATTTTCCACTAAGAATATATTTATATATATATAACGCTTCGAGATGATTCGTTTAACGATTGAACAGATGGACAGCGGGGGACCGGTTCTATGGCAAAATCCTACGACCAAGCGATTCGTATTGGTAGGAATCATCAGTATGGGTAGCGGTTGTGGCGACTCTAGTGGTATAAATACCAGAGTCGGTCCTTACATAGACTGGATTGTCTCAGAAACTGCAGGTTCGAGTATACTTTGTATAGGATATATTTATATTTATACACGCGATGTGCAAGTGGAAAACTTTTATATTCGCGTAATTGTTTCGATTTTTATTCCAGATTCTACGTATTGCATCAGCGAATAAGACAGTTCGATCGGCTCGACTCGATTCGACGCGGATAGCGGGCGGGGGCTAATTTCGTTTCGTTAATAATTTTGCCGACGAAGCAATTTGCTACTTTTTTTTTTTTTTTTTTTTTTTAACTAAGCAAATTCTTCGTAGAGAGCTTTGATAAATAAGTAAAAAAATACGATAAGCGGAAAAAAAAAATTGTATTTTTATACTTATTGATATTCGAACGTCGATTGGAATCCGTAAATCTATCGAGCGTCGAGTTTAGAGACGACAAACGATTTTATTAAAAATCGAAGATCGACCCAATCCGTTTCTTCCCAAATACACGTACATTATCGTTTGCATTGTAACGCGTCGTTCAATTTTATCATTTCGAACGATCCTCCCGTATTTTTGTTCCGATTCCCCTCTCCTTCCCCGTTCCTTACTACCCTCCCTCCCTCCCCGCGCTAATATTATTTGATGTTTACGTAAGAATGTTCGAACAGCGACGCCGAAGCGTCTGTCTCTTGTAACGTTCGCGAATCGATCGTTAAAACTGATTCTATTCATACGAAACCTATTTTTATCGACATAGGCGAAATACCTAGATTGTTCGAGCGAGATTTCCAGCGATATTAGATCGCAACGAATCGATACGAGTGCAAAGAAAGGCGCAAAAAGATGTAACGTAAAAAAAAAAAAAAAAAAAAAACCAAAGCGTAAGCGTAAAAGAAAAAAAGAAGAAAAGAGGAGAAAAAAAAAATTTTCCGACGAAACGAAAATCGCGTGTCCATATCGACAAGAAATTCCTATCGCATGCAGATTTCGTGGCCGTAAGCGGAATTAATCCACGAGGAAGTCGCATATTTTCATACACGGCCATAACTGAACGATTGCGCAATGCGATTTCTCATTTTACACGACACACGACATACGTGAGGTCGTAAGATAGAAAATCGTGGCTAGACGATCGCTCGTGGATTCTTCGTCGATAATCTTCCTCGTCTCTTCGTCCTTTGAAAGCCGCGTTAAACGCATACGCAAATGACTTGAAATTAATCGGGCGTAAACAACGTCTCTCATTATTAATAAATTGGTGAATGGGAGGATGTGACGCGAGACATGGTTCACCGGGAGGGAATATACACAATTACGTTGAATCGAAGCGAATACGTGTAATCGCCATCTGTTTACCTTCACTGTAACTAATAACGTTTAACGTAAATCAAATGTAGAAATTGGTTGGAAAGGTGAACGTTAAACGAGGATCACGTTTTAGACATTCGTCTGTGCTCGCTTCGTCGGGTTTCTCGGTTCACTATAAATAGATGACAAGAAAAGGGGGGAATTAATCAGGCTTACCGAATGGTAATTCGTGTCACAATTGCGTACGATCGCGCAAAATCAGTCGTATCGCCGTTCACGGGAGAGATATTTATTAAACAAATTGATTTCTTCGCCGCGGGTTCGACACGATCTGCCCTTGACACGGTTATTGAGTCGATGATAGTTCTCATAACCGGGGGGGGATACCCTAGCTGTCTTTTACACGAGTATCTGGTGCCGGGTTATGAAAATTCCCCGGTCCCCGTAACGCGCGACAATTCCACGCGTGTACAATTTCTCATTTGTCATTTGCGATCAATTCGATTTATACCGCACGATTGTGCAGTTTCTCAGTAGAGCCGCCCGATACGAATCGGACAACATCGCGAACCCACTTTCTTGAAAATGGATCAATGGCGAGAATGTGGATTCGTCAATTGGTGGAAACTGTGCCAAAGAGAAAAAGAAGGGGTCAAAGTGACGATAAAATTACGATATAATATAATACGTTTCGCGAGGAACGAGGATACGCGTCGCGGTTCTTCCATTCATCTTGGACGACGATTTAACCTGTCGTTAACGACCACCTGACCTTAGCTAACGATCGGAGAAGAGAAGAGTTGTTAGAGGGAGGTAGGTTGTAGACGGATTCGAAGGTCAGTAAAAGCGCAAATACGCCAGTCCGGTAGAGGCGGTCGATCAGAGTTGGCAACACAAGAGTTCGTTGAGGGAAAGTAGGGAAAGATGTAAGGCGAATTCTATTTGTACGAGGAGGCGAGGAAAGTGGAGATCGTTGGCCAATCGAGGGAACGAAAATGGCGGGGGATTGGCTGCGCGACGAAGATCGATGCGCGGCGAGGCGCGCGCGCGCCTGCTCCTTCGCTCCACATTTCTCCCTTCCGCGCGACACGTTACCACGTTACACGTTAAACCATATTATACGCGTCGACCACGAAAAACAACGAAGGACAAGGAAAAAGAGGAGAAGGAGGGGTTTTGGTCGAGAAGCTTGCGTTTCGACTCGCGAGGATACGTTATCCCTTTGTATAATACGATAGAAGAGGGGGGAGGGGATAGATCGCGCCTCTTCCCTCCCTCTCCCCCTTCTACTGTGTCCTCTCCTGATTTTCCTCCCCGAGGAAGTCGGCCAGTGGAATCTCGGCCGATACAAACGCGTGGAACGGCATCTAGTTGGCAGGGAAGCGCGTCGAGTGGACAGTTGGGAGTCGGAAGAGAGCGTATGCGCCATATGTACATAATTACCACGGGCCAATCGGGGATTGAAAGCGGTGCACAAGTTTGTCGTAGCGTCGAAGCTCCAGGGTCTGGCTCGTCCCGTTGGTTCCCTCGCGTGCGTGCATAAGCGCGCGCGCACACACAGCCGCGCAACGGTGGTTCAGTTGGTTATTGACGTTCGTGTGCACGGGGCGCGTTGCTAGACTCTGTTCAACCACACTCTGTTCGAAAGTCGGGAACAGTAGCGAAAGGGAAAGAGGGAATTGGCGCGTGGGTATCTTTCGCTCGCTCCTTCCAAGATCCCAAGAGAGGAAATCGGATACCGAAGAGAAGAGAGAAGAAGGAGTCGAAGGAGAAAATAACCACTTCGGGACCGGAAAAAAAAGGAAAGACGAGTGACTGTGATCGCCGCCCGGAAAAAAATATCCGAGCGAGGAGAGAGAGGCTGGTGCGGAACCGAGCTACATGGCTCCGAAAATTATTCCTTCTTTCCACCGTCCACGCGTTCTTTGCTATCCACGTTCGAGCGAGCACCACCGGTTCGATCAACCGAAGGGGACCTCTAAATAATTCTCGAATAATTCTTGGATTGATTTTCGTTTCGTCGAGACGAAGAAGAGCGAAGAAGTCCATCCAGATTTCCACTTCCAACCTCCGCGCTGTGTCGGGTGTTAAATCGCATCTTGAACACGATATAACACGAGAGTGGACACGAGTACGGACGACCGTGCGACAAGGGAGAGCGTAAAGGGAGAACACAAAGAAGGAAGAGAGTGCGAAGGCATGACGAGCATGACGAGCATGCGAACGATGCCGCCCGTTTAACGAATCGCCGTTTATAATATTTTATTACACGGTTGGAAAACTGCTCTCTCTACACTGGTCAAAGCTTATGTCACACGGAAGACGAAAGAGGAGAAAAGCGACGAGAGAGAAAGAACGACGTGACACAGTGAAAAAAGAGAGGACGGAAGATCGGGGATGCATGTTCCAGGACAATAATCGTGACAGTAGCGATAATCGTGAAACGTGAGCTTCCTTCGATCTCTTCGAATTGTTAAAGTGATTCAATCTCTCTTTTCGCGTGGTTGGATTGCGAGTCGACTCATCGTCTCTCTCTTCAACGATTTCGATGCTTTGTTTTCGCAAACTAATGTTCACGCTTGTACGAACAGAAACCTTTTCAACGTGCGATCGACGTGCACGCATCACGCTTCTTCGATCACCCCCTTCTCGCCCCCTTTCTTTCGTCTGATTTCGTACATTTCGAAATTCGCGTTCGTCCTTTTCCCATCTCTTTCCGTTCCGTATTATAATATTCGCGCGCGTCGAAATCGAAAACGAAAACAAATCGCGCCCTACGTACGACGATTTTATAACAATAATATAACAAGAACAACAATAATACGATCTACGCCGTATCGATTAAATTAGTCTTCTCTCAGATATATATTTGAATCGACGAGTTGCGATTCCCGCTCGAATCATCCTTCTCCCTCGTAAAAACATCGCACGAGGTTTTTTGCGACGAGCCACGAGGTTTTTCAACCGTCGTTTTTTCAAACGAGACGTCGCGATACCGCGTCGATCGATGCTGAGAAAAAACACAATTTTTCACGACGTAAGACGTAAGGACAAGAAGGCGAATAGGGAGAAGAAGAATAACAATACCTCTCTACGCGTGTACTCTCTCCTTCCCTTTGTTCGCGGAAAGGTGTCTGCGTCCGCGTGGGAGCCGTTTCGACGAGGTGGCGCGTTCTTCGTACCAGGCATGCCTTCCGCGTTATCCTGAGCGATTTTTTCCTACTCGGTGGATATAATTATATTTCTAAGAGATAATTATTTAAAGAAGAAGAAGAAGAAGAAGAAGAAAAAAAGATAGATGATTAAAAGAATATTCTTGTAATATAAAGAGAAAAAGAAAAAAAACATAAGATCCTCTTATTGGGGGATTCTTTATTTGTTGAACTGCCGTCGCTGTTCTTCGTAGTCGTTGACGCGTCGTCGTCCTTGTTGTTATTGTTACACAACCGTTGTTGCACCGTCTCGTGTAATAGTTTCTCGTCGCTGCCATTCTACTACGCCGTTCTCCTCTCGTCTCCCTTGCCTCCGGTGATTGTGTCGTGTGTCGGTGGTTTTCTCCACCGCCCTCCCCTCCCTCCCCCCTCTCTCCAACCCCCCGTCGCCACCCTTCCAAAAAAATATCACACACTCTTTTCTAAACATCGACAAACTTGACCCTTTGCTCGATCCGATCTGCGAGTCCATTTTTTCCCCCCAAAAACAAAATAAAGAAAGAGAGAGAGAGAGAGAGAGAGAGAGAAAGAAAAGGAAGAACGTACGAACTCG